TTATAAGTAGAGGGGGAGGTCTTCAACGCCCTTGCCTCGGCCATTCGTTGGATTGTTTTAAAGTCGGGCCTCACCGGCCTCTTCTTGTTAAAATTGATTATGGTAAAACAAAAAGGGTTAGCATATGCAATGAGGTCAACAATTCTATACAATTGGAACACTCTAGATAATTACCTTGGGAGGCCATCAGCTCGTGCGTAACGAAGTGGATGTTCTTCCTGATAAGCTCATTATAGGACCTCTTCTTCAGAAGAAGCTGATAAACAATACAGATTATATCAAACTCCTGGGCAAAAATCTCGCACCAAGGAAGAGTATCTGTAAGATTAACAAATAGTTAACTTCCAAACTGATGCGAAACACAAAAAATCACAAGGCTCCAGTACTCACTAAGTGTTGAATACTTTGTGGGGACCATAAGAGGCGTCAGGGGTTCTCCCTCCATTGTGTCCCATCTCCTAGAGGCCCAACACCATGAGCCCTTCCATTCCTTGATGGAGCTCGACAGATCGAGCACAAATGGAGTGTTGAAACCCCATGAAGTTAGGTAGTGCCACCCCCTAGTCTTATCACCCCCGCTGCTACATTAGGGATGTATAAAGTTTGAAACACTGAGAACGACATCTCTACCCCAAACGACGCCTCCTTCTATAACATCCATGACCCCACCATTTGACTCCAAAAGTTGAGGTTCAGTTGGGTCGGGGCCAGGCCATAGGTCCTCAAACCATAACGAAAGAAAGGATGGATTGGCAACCTAAGACCAACCCTAAATAACGCTTCGCTCACGGCTACGCGTAACAGGCTCACTCATCAGGCTCTGGCAAAATTAGGCCCACACTGTCCGAGATCCTATACTCCCTCCTAAGTCTATCGAGGTCAGCAGGCTTAAGTTTGGAAGGGTAATCGGACGCCCCCCAGTGTATGGAAGTATCTACCGGGCTATCAGGCCACCTCCAAATGTTCTCCTCCCTAATATCGCCTCAGACAATTTCGAGGAGGTCGCCAATACTGGCTGGTCAACCTTCACTATCTCCAACTCCCTCCCCGAAGTGTTACTACTCTTAGAAGCCATCTTCAGAATTCAAAAAACGTGAAAAACCAGAGAAATACTTACTCAAACGAATGGATTGGGGTTTTCTACGGTCGGAAAATAGGAAACGGTCCTCTGAAAGTTGCTGAAAATTGAAAATGTCGCCGAAAATTACTTGAAACTCGTTGGAAATCGCCAACAATTTAGAGAGTAATAGGGATTCTCAGTTTGCAAAAGTAAAAACATTCAAATGGCACTAAGTCCTCCTTTTATAGGAGAACTCAGGTGATTCGCACCGTTGAATTCAAACGATGTCAATCTAGGCCGTTTATCTCATCACAAATCTGGATCGTTGAAATGAAACGTCAGATTTGATCAACGCCCAGGATCTGACTATACCTCACACGCTCACTTAAAACGCGTCACCTCGAACAACGAACCGTTAACAATAAGTAGCTGTAGAACAGACAGCATGCCCAACTGTCCCCTTAGAAATACGCAATAGCTGTCACATCTAATGTCATAAGAAGCGTCAGACCAGGAGCAAACCATCCCAATTCACCTCAGATAAAGCTCTTCAACCAGCTTTACAAAGCTTCGACGCACTTGACATGGAGATCCCTGTGGGTCATTGCCTCGAATGCTGCATTCCCTCCCAAGCTTTACAAAGTTTTAACCATTTCCCAACGCGTCGTCCCCTGTGGGTCAACGCGTCGGTGGCAGATGAGCTCTTCAACCAGCTTTACAAAGTTTCGATGCACTTGACGCGGAGATCCCTGTTGGTCATCGCCTCAGACGCTTCGTTCCCTCCCAAACTTTACAAAGTTTTAACCATCTCCCAATGCATCGTCCCCTATGGGTCAGCACACCGGTGGCAGATGAGCTCGTCATTCAGCTTTACAAAGTTTAGACGCACCTGAAGCGGTGTCCCCTGTGGGTCATCGCCTCGGTGGCTACGTTCCTCCTAAGCATTACAAAGCGTTAGCCATCTCCCGTATTGATTGCAGATGAGCTCCTCACTCAGCTGTACAAAGCTTAGACGCACCTGATACGAAGTTTTGTGCAGGTCATCGCCTCGGTGGCTGCGTTCCCTCCTAAGCTTTACAAAACTTTAGCCATCTCCCAGCGCGTCTTCCCATGTGGGTCAGCCCACCGATAGCAGATGAGCTCCCCACTCAGCTTACAAAGCTTAGACGGTCCTGACGCGAAGTTCTCTGTGTGTCACCGCCTCGATCAATGCGTTCCCTCCTAAGCTTACAAAGCTTTAGCCGTCTCCTAACGCATCGTCCCTGTGGGTCAACGCATCGATGGCGGATGAGCTCCTTCCTTAGGCAGCACCGAAGCTTTAGCGTCTCAGTCGAAGACGTGTCCTGACCTTTAGCTTCACAAGCTTCAGCATCTCCCATGCGTCATCTTTGTAGGTCAGCGCCTCGGTCAGATATGTATCCCAATCCTAAGCTTCACAACGCTTTGGCCTTTTCCCAACGCCATCTCTTCGGTGAACACAAAAAATCGATCCACAAGCTTTCGGGCCATCTACACACTTCCCGTTCCACGCCAGTTCTCTATCACAAACCAAGGCAGGCATACTCGATCGGGAAAACAAGTCCACCCATGATTTAAATATTCATGCCTGAACTTAGGGAGACCACTGTTACGTCCCTAGCTGAACCACTTCGAAAAGTCTACCACTGCATTATAAAATATATATTCTCCTTCCCACTCTCTTGCATAACTTGAGCATTGTTCCGATCACCCAACGCTGACTTGACTGTCGGAGTGTATGCGCCCCCACCACCACCGCTGGTTCCGACCGTGTGCTTCTGACCGTGCGATGTTATGCGCATGAAGGATTACGTGGAGTAGTTATCCGTTGGCCACGTAGAGGGTCCAATTCTCGAGGTCAACACTTGCCTCATGAAATGATGTTCAAAGATGAGATTTATTCTTTCATTAGTGGGTTTGTTCAAGATTGTAATTCAAACACCAATCATAGCCATTATAATTCAAACATGGCTAAGAGGAAAATAAGTCTTTTTTTTAAAGATGATTTTTAAAAATATTTTAAATTATTTTAAGTGGGAATCGTTTACACTATTTGAAAAAATGTAGGAGTTTTAACTGTGATTTTTAATATTATTTTGTTTTATTCTATTTGTTTATTTAGCCATTGTTTGAATCACATTATTTTCATATGAATGCATTTTTGAACAGTGTATAAATGAAAAATGTGTATTAAAAATAATGAATAGTTTTGGATTTGCGTGTAATATTATTTTATTGAAAAAGTATGATTGAAATGATGTCAAATCATTGTTTTAAAATGTAATTTTTTCAAAGAACGTGGCTCAAATATGACCTTAAAAATGATAGTAAATTAGTCATTTCCATTTTTTAATGGAGAAAATAAACAATAATGACTTTTTGCGTAGAGAAAATTTGACTCGGTGTTAAAATGTCAAATTTGGAATGATTACAATGATTTGTGCAATGAAGACAAACGATAGGTACGTTTTGCACCAGTTACTCATATATTGACGGAAGGAATTAGCGAAATGAGATTTAAATGATCAATTTCGCAAGAAAATGTTAAAAATAAGAAAGCAAACGCCAATTTTGAACACAATAGGAACGATTAGCACAATGAGTATGAAGATGGGGATATTTTATGCTAATCACCCAAAAATCTAATTTTTATCTAAATAAAACATGTTTTGATTACTATTTTCTTATCTATAATTATTTCTATTTATTTATAGCTTAAACGGTTTATAAACACCCTATAGGACTAGTTTAGATTTTTTTTTTTTAATAAATAAAGCCTACTAATAAGTAACTTTCTTTTTTATTAAATTTTGATAAATGTTTCTAAATAAGTAATACTATTCACCACATTCTTTATATTTGAAAAGTTGATAATAACTATAAATTTTATGAATAAATAGTTAAAAATTAATTTTTGAGAAAACATGAATTCTGAAAAAAAGAGGGTGAAACAGGAATTGAAGTAGTCCAATATGCCCGACAAATTTTAAGCCCAACAAACGAAGCCCTAACACGTTTTCTCATACGACAGTTACAGTACTAGGGAATTTTTAAGAAATATTATTTTTAAAAAGCATATTTTATCATTTTAAGAGCTTCTATAAATTTAGAAATTAAAATTTTGAAATACTCTAACAAACTTTCAAATTTAACATAATTTTACTACTATAAAAAAATATTTATTATTTCTTTATATCTTTTATTTTAACTAGTTTTTCTTTAAATTATTTTATTATTTTTTTACATTAAAAAACGAACAACTTTGGATGCATTTAATTCTTTAAACGTGAGATACTCTCTATTTTAAAAAGTAAGTAAGAGCCCGTTTGATATGATTTATTAGAAAATGTGTTGTTAAAATATAAGGCAACTTTATTAGTTTGTGTGGAATATTTTATTGTGTGAATGTGTGATGAATAATGATCCTATAGTAAACAATTTAAAACTTTAAAAAATAACAAACATGGCTTAAAATGTTAATTTAAGTAAATGTGATGCTTCACATACATCGGGTAATGGTATTCACCCCTCTCATGTGAAGCGAACCCATTTTGAATGAAATATAATTTATCTGAAGTGGATCCTCTTCCATGGGAAGGGTAAACACCATTACGAACATCGCGTTACGTATTCCTTTAAATAACTCTATCAAATCGCCTAGTTTTAAAAACATCCTCCTGCTCTCTCTCTTTCTATGTCCTTGTTTGAGCCTTATTTTAAGAGAAATAATATATTTTTAAATAGTGATTGATGGCAAATGTGTGATTAAAAATTAAAAATTAATTTTTTTTTGAATTTACATGTAATATTATATTATTGAGAAATATATACTTCAAAATGAGTTTTGGAAAAATAAATTTAACAAAAAAATGGAGCTCACAAGTGCTACATATATTCATTTTCTACCCAATCTGGTCCGAAGTCCAAACCGTTCAACTCGCACCTCCACTTTTGTATTTTCTCACAAAAAACACGCAAAAAACTCGCGAAATAGCATAAAAAATACTCTTCATTTCCATCTGAATCCATCTATTCAAGCTACTCTTACTAGTACGAATTCAGTGGCAGCAATTTTGATTTTGATGTTTGGTCTGTAAAACTATGCTCTGGATCTCAGAAAAGGGAAGGAGGAAAGGATAAAGAGCAATAAAAATGGTGTTTAAGGGGAGATTTTTTGCTTCTAAAAAGTCAGATGCTTCTAGCCCAGATGGATCCTCCAACAGTCCTCGATCTTTTGGGTCTAACTCCAATTCCCCGATCCGATCCGATAAGAAGAAGCCTAAGTCATCTTCGCCATCCATTTCCAAAGACAAATCCCCAAGCACCCCAACCACCAGCTTCAGCAAAAATCAAATTAAAAAAAAGGACTTTAAAGTGAAAGATGCACAGAATTTGAGTAATCACAGTTCTGGAATCTCATCTTCATTTGCTCCTTCCAAGTTGAAAAAACCAGAAGAAGCTCTGGGGCCGAGGCCCACCTCTGTGTCTGTGTCGCCGATAGTTGCATCGTCGCTGGGGTTGAACAAGATAAAGACACGATCGGGGCCATTGCCGCAGGAGAGTTTCTTTAGTTTTAATAGTAGAGAAAAGGGGGTTCCTTTAGGTTCCAGTAAATTGTCAAAGCCATGTGGCCCTGGTGGTGTTGTTGGTGGCGGTAGTGTTAGTGATGGGGTTTTTGGCGGGAAGAAGGAGAAATCATTGGTGGAGAATGCTGATAATGGGAGCAAGGATACTCTGTCAAATGAGAACAGGCAGCCATGGGACCGGAGCCCAAATGTAGTCAAGGCTCAGGCCAGGTCACGGCTCCAAAATGGGGAATCATCTTCTGGAGCTACTAGTATGTTTCTCTATGTTATTTTTTATTTTTTTCAGGAAAATACAACCTACATAGGTGCATTAATGTTTATTGCTAGATATGCGGATGCATTTTTAGTTGTGGGATTGAAATGCGAATCCTTATGTTTCGACTTAATCAAGACTTATAAAGAGATCCTTAACAGTAACAACGGGACATCTATTAACTTAGTTATATATTAGGTAATGAAATTATCACGTGAGTACGGGTGAATAATTCGTAATGCCGTAGACTTAACAGATGTATTGTATTGCAATATGGTTGGTTATAGTTAGACTATGCATCATTTATGCTCAGAATTTTGCAGCGGAATTTTTATGGTGATTAATTCACTATAAGTGAAATCTTATTTTGTACCGTATATCATATAAAAAACTTCACATCTTTCGGTTTTTCTCCAAGAGCAACCTAGATCACTATGTTTTGAATATCTGTCTAAAACTGGCTTGAACTTTTCCCATCAAAGTATCTAATCTTTGTTCCACTAGGCATGGCCTTGGACAAGCCTTAGCTCCTCCAATAAAAGAAATTAACGGTATTACTTGATTCCTCGATACATTGAATCTAAAGAATGCCTAAAATATTGATGCTTTTACATTTACCTTGGTGAAATTTTTTTAATTTTGAGGTGCCTATTGGAAAGGAATCCTCCAGGACGAGGTATTCAAATTTTACAATTCTCATATGATTAAACTTGAGTTTAGGTGGCTTAATTAATTAATTTGTTGTTGTTGTAAAACTCGTGCAAAGCTTGGAGGTTGTGATCTTATATCCAAGTGTGACTTGGAGAGAGGTGTTTTAGGTGACACTGTTATTAGAGTCCCTTATGTTTCTGTTTAAACTTAATCTGCAAATCTTCTTATGTATAGTAACAGTAATTTAAAGCTGTGTGTTCAGTTCATAATTATTCTGTTTCCTCACTCTTTGCTGGGCATCTGGTTAACACTCAAGCTTGCTTTAAGTATCTGCTACAACAGTTTATGCATGTGAGAAAAGGAAAAGGAATTCTGGGAATTATTGAAGACTTTAACTTAATGTAAAATTGTTGGGTGCAAGCTGGACCCCTCGAGGTCACTTGTAGAGGAAAAAGAAAAGACTGGGTTTACCGGCTTCTGATGTCCTTCTATTATGGGATGGAGTGTTCATCCTTTTCAATTGGCTAATGTTGTTCTCACAGGGCGTTTTGATTCATCATGGCGTCATTCTGGAGAACTTAGGAGTTTGAATATACATACTCCAGAAATGAAGGTAAAGTATCTCTTTGATACTGTCAAAGCATATATGTTCAGAAATATTTTCTGCCGAAAACTGTGAATTTAAATAACCTGAAACCAAATTAATCATTCAGACATCATATGAATGTGACAACCCGAAGGAGTCTGAATCTCCCCGCTTTCAAGCTATCCTTCGAGTTACCAGTGCTCCTAGGAAGAGGTTTCCTGGTGATATCAAAAGTTTCTCTCATGAATTGAATTCCAAAGGTGTACGGCCTTACCCATTTTGGAAGCCTCGAGGTTCAAATAATTTGGAGGTATTTAGGTTTATTCCAATTTTTTCTTTTCTTTTCTTTCTCAAGCAGCGATATTTTACTCTAAATAATTTGGATATTCATGATCATCTTGGACTCACAACAGGAGGTTTTGACTATGATAAGGACAAAATTTGACAAAGCAAAGGAAGAAGTGGATTCAGATCTGCATATTTTTGCTGCAGATCTGGTTGGAACTCTGGAAAAAAATGCAGAAAGCCATCCAGAATGGCAGGAAACTTTAGAGGACTTACTGGTTTTGGCTCGGAGCTGTGTCATGATGTCTCCTGGAGAATTTTGGCTTCAGTGTGAAGGCATAGTTCAAGATTTGGATGATAGGCGTCAGGAACTTCCTATGGGCATGTTAAAGAAGCTTCATACTCGAATGCTTTTTATACTCACTAGGTGCACAAGATTGTTGCAGTTCCACAAGGAAAGTGGGTTGGCTGAAGATGAACCTGTTTTTCAGCTCCGGCAGTCACTTCAGCCTGCAGAAAAATGTGTTAGCACAGGGAAGGATGGGAAGATTTCTACTGATGCAAAATCCTCCCACGTTCACCCCACAAGGAAATCTTATAGTCAAGAGCAACATGTTGAAACCACAAAGAACTTGGATCCTTCTATCAGTAGGAATCGGATGGCTTCGTGGAAGAAATTTCCATCTCCTACTGGAAAGGTACCCAAAGATGATATCGTTGCTTCAGTTAAGGAGGAACGGAATGATAATATTGTGGCTTCAGTTAAGGAGGAACAGAATGATCATATCGTGGAAGCTTCAAAAATATTAAGCAACACAAGAGTATTGCATGATGTTGATCTCGCTACTTCTAAAGCTTTTGAATCTCCTGCAAAAGATTCTCATATACAGCATTCAATGCCCTCCAAGCACCAACGTAAAGTCTCAAGAGGAAACTGGGGTGATCAACCAAGTGTTTTTGATGAAAGTTCAATGATCTGTCGCATTTGCGAGGAGGAGGTTCCCACTTTACACGTGGAAGACCACTCTAGAATTTGTGCAATCGCCGATCGATGTGATAAGAAGGGTCTGAGTGTCAATGAGCGCCTAGTAAGAATAGCTGAAACTCTTGAGAAGCTGATGGAGTCGCATTCGAAGGACTTCCAACATATTGGGAGTCCAGGTGGTGCCAAAGTATCAAATTCGAGTATGATCGAAGAATCTGATCTTCCTTCTCCAAAACTCAGTGACTGGTCTCACAGAGGCTCAGAAGACATGCTAGATTGTTTTCCGGAAGCAGATAATTCTGTCTTCATGGAAGATATGAAGGGTTTACCTTCCATGTCGTGTAAAACTCGCTTTGGTCCAAAGTCTGATCAAGGAATGACGACATCATCAGCTGGCAGCATGACTCCTAGGTCACCTTTGATGACGCCGCAGATGAGCCAGATAGACTTGCTTTTGTCAGCGAAAGGTGCTTACTCTGAACATGGCGATCTTCCTCAGGTATATAATAGTCTGCTGAGTTCATTATCATCTTCATCTTCACCAGCTTGTTGGTAACTTACTGCATGTGCCATATTAATGCACCACATGCAACTTTCAAATTTGTTACAGTTGTTATATGTGTTGAACTGGTATGCATCTGTTTGCTTAATTGATTTCTACTTAACCTCTTGGCCTTGTTATTTTCTGTACAGTTCTGCTTTCTTTGAAATTTTATGTTCAAGAAGATCTAAGCATTTCTTTATGTATTTGTACCATAGTCAACTTTGGAGTAAAAAGAGTTTGATGCTCTAGAAAATTCATAAATGATCACTTAATATTACTTTCTTTTGCGTCCAGTCTGCTGAGATATACGTCTCTGTATGATGAAGTATAAGGACTGTCTGAGTAGAATGCAGTGCAGAATGAGAAATTGGGAAGATAAGAAAAATAGAGGGAAGAATGAGAAGAAATGGGCGAAAATAGAGAAGAAGTTGGGGGGAACTAAAAAGAAAAAATAAGTTAAATAATTTCTAATAAAATTAAGCCCTTGTTTGGTGGAGATTAAATTATATTTTTAGTAGATTTTGATAGAAATTGATGAAATGTGTGGTCGTAAAATTGCGGGCCTCATGAAATATTTGTATAAAATTAATTGTTGACTTTGATTAAGATTAAAGTCTAGATTTCAATCACTGCCAAATAGGGCCTAAATCTCATCGAAATATTAAAATTAATCTAATTAAAACTAACATAACTTAAATCAATTGCTACTTAACTTCTATCTAAATCTTAACTTTATTCTTTTCATTCCCATACTAAAGAAGATACATTATAAAGGAAAACTCTACCATTACATGATCATTCAATTTTATGGTATCCTAACTTTCAGTTTTTGTGGGTTTCTTTCTTTCTTTCTTTCTTTCTTTTTTTTTTTTGTTTCCTTATTTCTTCTATTGTTAAGTACATAGTTACATATGATTTTGTGCATTTGGCGTAATTGGAAATGATTTGTGATTGCGTGTGGCTGGACATGTATTCAGATTGAGGGAGCTTTTCCTATTCAGATGAGATCCCCATGTCTTACTGCAATGGTCAACAAATACATCAAATTATGATACAAATTTTTCATTTCTAATCTGAACAAATTTATTTGGGTAATGGTTAAGCTTTCCATCCACTCATCACACATTAAATAGCTGAAATACAATGCTGGAATTGGATTTATCATGTCCAATCAGACAAGCCAGAACCTAATATCACTCACTCGTTATGGTGGTGTGGTTCTAGATTTGCTCAGATTTTGTGAGCTCTACTTAAATATGAATATATGAAAAGTGAGTACATCACACATTTACAAAGAGGTAAGGTGGCGAATATTATTTTGCCCCAGAAATTTTGAGGTACCCAGAACTTATTGAGGTACTGCATTTTTTAATTTGATGGCTACAACGCCTCATAGAAGTTTCCAGCTTTTGATGTCCTCTTTTTGATATGCATCTGTTTTTCATATTGCAAAGTTTCTGAGTATTAGCAACTCATTGTATTTCTTTTCTTCTTCGCACAAACCTTGGGAAACAATGTGATCCTATGAAACAAACCTCTAATTTAACTAGAGCCAGAACTCAATATTTGAAGCTTTCATGGAGGACAAATTAGATGTTTCGTGCCTAAACAAATATGACTTCTAAAGAGTCTTGAGAGAGAAAATGCTAAGCTGTGTAGTGGAACTAAGTGGTAGCCAATTGTATAGAATCAATGTATTGTTGAAATCGTGAGATTAATTTTGGATTTCTTCAGCTCTTTGTAAAAGTTAATTCTCCATTTTGACGTGCAGATGAATGAACTTGCTGATATTGCTCGATGTGTAGCTAGTACCCTCCTGGATCATGATAACTCTGTGTCGTATCTGCTTTCTTGCCTTGAAGACTTGAAAGTTGTTACAGACCGCAGAAAATTTGATGCTCTCACAGTGGAAACTTTTGGAGCACGAATAGAAAAATTGATCAGGTGAATATCTGTCTAATTGACCTCTTCATTACAGTATAAACATGTCTTGATGATTTTCCTTGACATTTCTAGTAATTTTGAGACATTCATGTTTGCAGAAATTTGACTCTTGTTTAATGAATTTAATTCTAGAGAAAAATATTTACAACTATGTGAATTAGTAGTCGACGACAAGGTTGACATCACAAGCACTGTAATTGATGAAGATGCTCCTTTAGAAGATGATGTTGTACGCAGCTTGCGAACTAGCCCGGTACATCCCACCAAAGACCGGACCTCGATAGATGACTTTGAGATTATAAAGCCAATTAGTCGTGGGGCATTTGGCCGGGTTTTCCTGGCAAAGAAGAGAACTACAGGGGATCTGTTTGCAATCAAGGTGCATATACAATTTGTCTCCTTTGATGCTAATTGTTCCTTCTTTTTCTTGAGAAGATATTTCTTATACCACTTGATCTAAAAGTTAAAGATGTTAGATAGGACCACATGGACATCATATGATATTGCTTCAACAAAATGTTTCTAGGCTTTTGGAGTTAGCTCGCTCTAAAGCAAAATCTACTTTGGATACCTTGTAATTTTAATTTTGGTTATTTGGTGACTAGTTTGTTGCAACATTTCTATTCCAAGTTCTTGAAGTTTTACATTCTGAAAATTTATCAGACATAGTTTAGGAAGTTGCAAAAGAATTACTAGATTATGTGTCTTATTTTGGTCCACTTGTCTCATACCTGTGCAGTCAAACATTTGAAAAAACTTGAAGCAGATAATTTCTGATAGAAAGCTTCTAAGGCACTATGATAATTAATTAATTTTACAATTATAGCAGCATTGTAAAAGAAAGGGAGAGAATCATAATAAGCATTGGAGAAGTTTTCTAATGAAGATGTCAATGTTTTAAATATCAAACAGGACTGAATCTCATCTAATTATATTTTCTACGTGTATCTTTTATGATATATTAGGTTAATTTCTAGAGGTCAAAACTAATGAGAAAGTTTTGCGGAGATGTATCAATGTCCTTGAGGAATCTATTATCTGTATGATTGGTAGGTTTTAATAATTTGAATTGGGTTGGTTGTGTTGATATTCACCCTTCTATTACTGAATGGTGTATGTTTCTTGGTGGTGTACTTATCTCTTGAAAAGGTAAGAAAAAAGCTTGTGTTTCGACGACTTCCACCGAGTCTGAATATCTGAGCCATGTCATGTGCTTATTCTGAAATCATTTTGCTTCAAGATTTGTTGGAAGAAATTGGTGTTCCGCAACTTTCTCCTATTCCTCTTTATGCTGATAGTATGAGTGTTATTCAAATAGCTAATAATTCGGTGTTTTATAAACATACCAAACATATACAAGTGGAGTGTCATTCTATTCATGAAACGCTTCGTTGTCATGAGATTTTTGTTCCTTACATTTCTATTGAAGACCAAATAGCTGATGTCTTTACCAAAGCTATATCTTGCCATCACCATTAGTTTATGGTTGACAAATTAATGCTTCTTGATCGCTCAACATCAATTTGAGGGGGATTTCAATGAGTTGTCCGATTATACGAGTTGATTGAACTTCCCACAATGGAATATTTGATTGTATATAATTAGGCTATTCCTAATATAGTTGATTTAATTATATATTACCATATTTAGGGGCTATAAATTGTATTATTTGAAGGAATAACCTTGATTGAGGTATCGATTGTAATGAAATACAATTTTATCATCTATAACGATCACGGACTTTCTCCTACAAGCCCTTTCACTCGGGGGCTATTCCGTCCACCGTTAGTAACAAAACTAAAGTGCTTATAGGAAAAATACCTGGCCGGTTGTTATAGATACAACTTAGGATGGTAGGCTACCCTTGTTTATTAAGAGCGTGTTTGATCCCCATTATTTCCAAGTTTCATCAATCTCTTTTTGTCAATCACACATTCTTCAATAAAATATTATTACACGCAAATCCAAAATTTTTCCTTATTTTTTAACTACACATTTTCATCAATCTACTATTGCAAAATATATTATTTGCTAAAAATGGGGCTCAAATATGCTCTAAGTCATCAATCTTGTCTTCAAAGTTGATTGAGTTTAGCAGGACAAGGAAAAATTTTGGTAGGTTTTGACATGACGGAAGCAAACAAAGAGAGAGATAGCTGAGAGAGAGAGAGAAGGTTAAAAATTATATTTCTGTTCAATGTCAAAGTGGGTCTTACACTGAAAAACCTATTGTTACTAGAGTTGAAACTGCTAGTAAATAAGAAAATAAAATAAAATACTAGAAGATCTTTAAAAATAAACCCTCAATGCTATTCTTAATATTAGTATCCAAACTTGGCAACTATTAAATAAAATGTCTTTGTTGATCTCCATCACCGGGTCTTTCCTGCTTGCTTGGCTTTTAGTCAAACTTCCTGCAGCTGAGACTTCATCTTTATGATGTTTCTAGATCAACAAAATTGAAGCATTGTTTTTCATGGCTCTATAAAGCATAAAATAGGATGCAATTACACCATCGCATAAACCCAATCTATCTTATGGTTTTCTTTGTAAAGTGATTGGGAGCCCAATTTCAACCGCATGCTTAATTTTTACAAGTAAAATGGCCAAACTAGATCTTGGGGAACTTGCAATATTTGTGGGTATATCCCTTAGCCTGCTTCCATCTGCACTGCCATAGCCAAACGAAATTATTATTATTATAGCATTACTTGATGTATTTTCAAAGGGCACCAACTTACTGTGTATTCTGCAGGTGCTCAAAAAGGCAGATATGATCCGTAAGAATGCAGTTGAAAGTATTTTGGCCGAAAGGGATATATTGATCTCAGTTCGCAATCCTTTTGTGGTGAGAAGGTGTTTTTACCCTATCCTGTTAAAATAACTTCTCATTTTAACTTGTATGCTTCATGTCTTAGGTTCGCTTCTTCTATTCATTCACTTGTCGTGAAAACTTGTATCTTGTGATGGAGTACTTGAATGGTGGAGATCTTTATTCATTGTTGAGAAATCTAGGTTGTTTAGATGAAGATATTGCTCGTGTCTATATAGCTGAAGTTGTAAGTTTTCTTGTTGACGTCTCTTATTTCGCTTTATTTTCTCCTATTGCTTTGTTTTAAGTGAATGCAATATATATATGAGACTCTGATGTGGACAGGTGCTTGCTCTGGAATATTTGCATTCTCTGCGCGTGGTTCATCGTGATCTGAAGCCTGATAATTTGTTGATTGCACACGATGGTCATATCAAGGTAACTTATTTCTTTCCAGTGTTACATATGTATATATATATAGAACATATATATATGTATATGTGTGTGTATATATATATATATATATATGTATATGTGTGTATATATATATATATATATATATGTGTGTGTATGTATGTATATATATTTTTTATTTTTTTTAAATTTTTTGCATCCCTATTTTAATACACATGTTTTATCGATTTTGTATTTGTTGAGGGTTTGGCTTTTATTTTTTAGACACGTGGTTTTCAATTTTGTATGTGGGATTCTTTATTAAAAAATGTAGTCAAGGAGAAACCACTAGAAATAGAAAAATGTAAGTGAAAATAAGAGGTAGGGGCCAATCATGAGGGGTAGCTCAGTGGTCAGGTCTTGGATTTGCTCTTCAATGGTCACCAGTTCGAATCTCTTTAGAGCCATTGAAGTGAGTATCGAACTGTAAATTTCAAGGCTCTGGATTGGTCGAGGTACGCGTAAGCTAGTCTATATCCACGATCATAAAAAATAAATAAATAAATAAAATAAAAAAGAAAAAAAGAGGTAGGGGCCATCAGTACGAGTGTTGCTGATTTGAAACTTCAAATTTAGAATGATTTCTGTCGATTGATTCTTATGGCAATCCTTTAGCAGATCCATGAGACAATTCAAATTTGACAGAATCAAGTGGGAGCATCCTTCTATCACTAATCACGAAGTCGTGAGCTTTGAGAGCCTTTTTATGACAAAAATGCTCTTTTATCACTAAAGGTTTACTTTAGTGGTAAAGTTGACTATTTTTTCAATCATAATCCAATTTGGCATATAGCCATTCCAGCCTCGGGTGCACCAACTCAAAGTATTTGACTGGTCTATCTTGCTATATCTCCTTTTCTTTTCTCTTGTTTTGTTTTGCTAATGATGCCAAGTCATGTACCACAGTACTAGTGAATTATCACTGTATATTTGGCTGGGTAACATTAAACAGAATATTTATTTGGCCATGGACTCTTAACTGTTTTATTCTTTTTCATGTTTCTTTTTCTTTGTGGAACTGTGTTATTAAGTTTTCCAATCTTGTATTTATTTCTAGATTTTTTTCTCTTGTATGGTCAAGCATTACATTAGACTCCATTAATTGCTTGTCCTATGCTATAGTATGATTTTACTTTCAAAAGTAAATTTTCTCTGTCTACTTCATAGTATTTTAATATAATGAACATATTTTATGAAAAAGAAAATACAGTTCGAGTATTTTCTAAGATTGTTTATCTTTAGAAATAGGTAAAGCTCATCGAGCTTAATACTTTTTATATTTCTCTTTACTTTTTGCCCTCTGAATATACTGATGCCATAAAAACTTAGAAATGCTTGCGAATCTAATGGGCCTAACTTAATGTATGCCATCCAATCTATCGATGCTGATTTATTGTTGAATTAACCAGTTGACAGATTTTGGGCTATCTAAAGTTGGTTTAATCAACAGCACTGATGATTTATCGGCTCCAGCTGTCAATGAAACATCCCTAATGGAAGATGATGAGCAACAATTGTCTGCATCTGAGCATCAACGGGAAAGGCGTAAGAAACGCTCTGCTGTTGGTACACCAGACTATTTGGCACCCGAGATTCTTCTAGGAACTGGGCATGGTTTGTAATTATTCCTTTTTATATTATAGTTTTAAATAAATTAGAGAAATTCACTATGTAAATGTTAAAGGAAAATAATAATCCGTTCCACATACTCAAACGATGTCACCATGAAGAATCTTAAGCAAAATCATAACGGGCTCCTCACTCAAACAGTTGAATCACGACTAATATAGACAATCTAAGTACAAGGACCCACCGGTACAGAAATTTCCTCCTATTTTTCATAAATCGTCTCTATTCCCCCTACTAGCCTAGCATTTATGCGATATTCAAATCAATCTTATAACAAGTTTCAGGATATAAACCTTGAATGGCTGATAAGAATCTGTCCCTGAGAAAAAAGACTGGTTCAATTCTTGGCTGCCTATAGTTGTATGATATCTTTACTTATGACTTGATAATCATTTTGGTCGTGTTGGTTAGGTAAAAAAATTATGATATGACTTGAAAACGTATTGCCGTCAAAATTGTTCTATGGTTCTATTGGACCTGGTTGTGCGCATTTGATTTGAGTATTCTCTGCATTTTCAGGCTTTACTGCTGATTGGTGGTCTGTGGGTATTATTCTATTTGAGCTGATTGTTGGCATTCCGCCGTTCAATGCAGAGCATCCTCAGGTTAAATATTGTTTTATAATTTTATATCCTTGGTGCTTGCTGAATGGTTAAAGGTCCTTGACGTGTGACATGTTTTTGGGACCTTATCTTTGGCTAACATAGTATTTCACCTTGATTTAATGAATTTTTTCCAGGGAAATGATAACAAGATAAATTAGAAGAATGCAGTTCTCTGATTGTTTGTGAATTCTATAAAGACGTATAGATTCCTGCAAAGAATTGTCTGTCAGATCCTTTTTGAATTGTGAACTCGTGAAGCGTTACTATAGAAAATATTAAAAATAGTTAGTAAGTATTGCATTAATACTTCCCAGAGCTAAATACTTAATTACAATTACTGGAAAGTGAAGCAAGAGATGATGGTTCAGAATGGGAGAGAGGATGAATAACTAAAAGAAACGGAGACGAGAAATTTGTGAGGAAGAAATTTATATATATCCTACATCAACTGTGAATAGTTTGTGTACTTGAAAAACTACTATTATATATAGTTAACATCCTTAGTAAAAAAAGGAAGTTACCTAATTTAAAAGTTTAGTTCATTGGCCAGTTCTCTCTTTTGCTTTTTCAGGCCCACACTCTTAGATATTCTATTTGTTGGCACAAATGATTGCACAAGAAATTCCTGAACTCTGAAGCATGCGGCTTAAAAAATTTAAATTTTCACCACTTTAAATATTTTACAGTTGTAAGTTGCATGTGACATGCCATATTGCGTGTATAATTTTATGGATACTTGCCACTAATAATCCCATGTATAGAATTCTTGAATTCTCATGCTGTCCGGGGCAATGGTGAAAATCTTATGGATTTATGTTATCTATCATCCATACTGTTTAGTAAAATTATCATCAAGTACCTTCTTTGGTTGTTTTCATATAATTTATCAGAAAAATGTACCTTCCATTGTCTATTCCTTATCATTTTTGGATTTCTCTCAGAAAATTTTTGATAATATTCTCAACCGCAATGTTCCTTGGCCTCGGGTCTCTGAAGAAATGAGCCATGAAGCACACGACCTGATTGATCAGTAAGAAAAAACTTGTTTCTATTTATGATGATTAGTTGTCTCAATATCCTGGTTGTTTTTTCCGTAAGCATCTCTTATTTAAAGCGTTCTGCAAATTTTTGTATATGAATCTGGAAATACTGAATTCTCTGTCGTCTTCTTGATTTCGTATCGATTTTCAGATTACTGACTGAAGATCCTAACCAGAGACTTGGAGCTAGAGGAGCCTCAGAGGTCATTTTAGTTCCTCATATTATTTCTGATGGCCCCTTTTTAATTAAATGTTCGGGTGATAATTGATTAAAGTATAAAATCAACTGTACAGGTGAAGCAGCATCCGTTTTTCAGAGATATTAACTGGGATACGCTTGCTAGACAAAAGGTTCGACTGTCTCCCACAATTCAGTGTGCTTTTATGTGCAGAAGTTTTTGTATTTAGCATGTTTGGCTAAGCTTGATTTATCTCGCTATTAGACTATTAGTATAATAAGTAAATTTTATAATAATTTCTTACTCGGTCAAAATTCAAAATTAGCAATAAGCAAACTAGTTATTTTGAGAGTAAGAGTTACTTTCAAACTAGGCGGATTTGAGAAAATATCATATTCAAGCATGTTTGAAAACAAAAGGTTACGAGTATACCGGATTATTGATGCTTTGTAATTCTTCCCCATCTCCCAGGCTGCATTCATCCCTGCCTCGGAGAGTCCACTAGATACAAGTTACTTCACATGCCGTTTCTCTTGGAATACTGCGGAAGAACAAGTGTATGCAGTTAGTGAATTTGAAGATTCTAGTGACAATGGTAGCATAAGTGGTAGCAGCAGTTGCCTAAGCAATCGACATGATGAACTGGTTCTATGCTTTTCTACTAATTGAAATTGAACGCTATTTATCTTACCCTACTGGTTTATAACTTTAATTCGGATTATTTTGGATAGGATGACATACACGGAGATGAATATGGCGGTTTTTCGGAATTTGACTCAAGCTCTGCCATCAATTATTCCTTTAGCAATTTTTCGTTTAAGGTAATCTTTTGCATGGTATGCCACAGTAATAGTCCTAATGGACTGGATTTAGATAGTTCTTTTTTTTTCTTTTTTTTTTATCTGTAAATATAAATTTCTATAGATCAAAACTCATATACAGGTACTCCGGGCATACCCGGGCTAAACAATAACAAAAAATGTATTAACAATAAGATCTAAAGATCTAATGCTAGAGACTCAAAATGAATCAGAACATGAGGATACAATAAGAACATGACTTTGTATACATGTGTTTTGATCCGTCTCACTATGCTATCAATGTGTGGTCTAAGATCGTCAAAAATCTTCCTATTTCTCGCCATCCAGATGGAGTAAACGGTGCAAGCAAGTGCAATTCTCTTAGCTTTGCTTTGCTAGGATGTCCCTCGAGTTTCCTTTTTAATCCACTTCAAAGCACTAGCTAGTGTAGATATGAATCGTCTCATTCCCAGCCACTTTCGAATCTGTCCCCATGTTTCGTTGCTGAACGGGCATTCAAAAAATAGGTGCTTACCAGATTCTTCCTTAAATCTATAGAAAACACAGCTTCGATCTATTTCCAAATGTTGTAATTTATCTTTGGTAAGTAGCCTAGATTGGGCACTTAGCCAAAGAATAAATGAATGTTTCGGTGTGATACATGGCTTCCAAACATCTACTGCCTAGGTTTTGTTAATTCCCTTCAACCGGAAATACTCATACGACTTGGACATAATCAACTTGCCCTCGGTACTCCACTCCGCCAATCGCTGGATGGTAGCCTGCACACTACCCTCTTTTTGGATAAACAATCCCCGAATTGTCGACAACTTCTTCATCAATGGAGAGTCATCATTTTTAGGCATCCACTCCCAAATGGTACCGCCTCTCAAGTATACATGATTGACCCAACGTACCCAAAGAGTGTCTTTCTTGTCTTGAATATTCCAAAGTACCTTGGTTAGCAAAGCATTATTCCAGCACTTTATGTCTCGAAATCCTCCCTCACTTTTAGGGAGATAAACATCCGCCTAAGAAACTAGCGATTTTTTGGAGTTCCAAAGAAAGTTCCTGCAAAGCCAAATAATTCTTGACGTTACTGTTGCCGGAATCGGAAAGATAGATAACCAAAAGCATTCAACTCCTTGTGAAACTGCCCTAACCAATTCGGCCCTCCCAGCATAAGACAATGATGCACATGTCCATGTATTAATGTATGCCGCAATCTTGTCCAAGAACGGCGCATAGTGATTAACTCTCAACTTTTGTGCTGGGAGTGGAATCCCCAAATATCGAAACGGCATTGTATCCTTGGGCATGCCCACAACCTCTTGGATTTCATCCAAATCTACCCCTTGAATACCAGTCGTGTAGAGATTTGATTTGTTCAAGTTTACTCTCAGTCTGGAGGAATCACTGAACTTGGACAGGCATTGCATCAATATGCGCACTGATATAGCATCACCTCTAGCAAACAACATCAAATCATCCGCAAATGCCAAGTGTGTGATTTTCAAAAACCCACATTTTGGATGGTAATTAAAATCACTATAGGTAGTAACCGCTTTCAATGTTCTTGATAGATATTCAAGACAAATCACAAATAGAAATGGCGATAGAGAGTCTCCTTGCCTTAATCCTCTTTTGCCCTTAATGAAACCATGCAAGCAACCATTAAGTGCAATGGAATATGAAGGGGAAGAGATACATACCATCACCCACCTAGTGAATCTCGCTGGAAATTCCATTCCCTCCAAAATCGATTTCAAGAAGCTCCATTCAATAGAGTCATACGCCTTTCGAAGATCTATTTTAAGTATGCATCTCGGTGAAACTCTCTTCCTACAATATAGTCTCAATAATTCTTGAGCAAGGTGGACATTTTTTATCAAACTCCTACCTTTCACAAATGCAGCCTGTGATTGATCGATAATAGTCCTCAATACTGGTGCCAATCTATTAGAAAGGACCTTAGTAATGACCTTATAAGTGACATTGCAACATGAGATATGTCTATAATCACCAACAGTGGATGCATGACTACCTTTGGGAATTAAGGCAATGATGTTGTGATTAATTTCTTTATGCAGTGAGCTAGACTCAAAAAATTCAGTTATAGCCTCCACAAAATCACCCCCAACTGTACTCCATGCTTTCTTGAAGAAACATGATGTGTAGCCGTCCGGACTCGGTGATCTATCCTTTCCAATACCAAGCAAGGCTGCCTTTATTTCTTGTGCGGTGATATCCATGCCAAGAGCATTTGCATGCTCCAATGAGAGTAGTGGGCCCTCGCCGAAAACTTTAGGATCAATGGATTCACAAGCATTACTCATTCCCAACAAATTTTGATAGAATCCGACAAATTCATCAGCCACATGTTCTTGCGAGGTCGTGGGGTGCCCATCATCTTTAATAACTGTCGCAATGAAAATTCTTTTTGCATTCCTCTTTACCATGGAGTGGAAGAATTTCGTACATTTATCCCTCTTTTTCATGTAGGCACATTTTGCTTGTTGGTAGAAAAAATTTCTTTCCGCTTCACAAATATCCATCGCTTTTTTCCGTAACTGTGTGACTTTACTCTGCAAATCTATATTACTGGTTGATCATGAAGCTCCATTTGGGCAGCCTGCAATTCATTCTTAGCCCTTTCAACCTTGTTGGCAATGTGTGCGAATGCTCTTTGGTTGAGCTGCTTTAAGACTTCCTTCAACCTATGTAACTTTTTTGCACAAAATAAATTGTTTAGTACCATGAATGTACTTATTCCAACTAGCTATAACCTGATTTTGAAAATCTGAGTGTTCTGCCCACATGTTGAAGAATTTGAAGTGTTTCCTTTTAATCTCATCTAGCTGGAAGAGTGTCACAATACAAGGAGAATGATCCGACAAACACCCCGACGGCTGAAAATCCGCTAAGGCGTGAAAACCCGCTTGCAACCCCAACTCATTTACCATTGCTCTATCAATCTTGCTCCACACCGAGAGTATGCTCCCCTGTGAATTCTTAGACCATGTATAAAAGCAACCCATGGACCTCAAATCCGAAAGACCCGCATTCAAGCAGCAATCCGCAAAGTCTTTAATTTCATATGGAGTGGCATCCGCTCCATTGCATTTTTCATCATATTGTAGGACATTATTAAAATCTCCCATGATCAACCAAGGACTTGAGCAATCTGCTCCAAAATCCATTAAATTGTTCCAAAGAGGCCTTCAAGTGACAATAGAATGAAATGCATAAATGAAACTAATGCAAGTAGAGATGGATGTTACCTTGCAAGTCACATTGCAATGTATCACTTGTGGTGTTGCATCCAAACTTGTAACTCAACCTTCACCGGGTTCCATAAAACCAAGATTCTTCCGGTCGGATGTAGGAGAAAATTGTCCACTTCTCTCCATCCGCCAAATTTTTTTGTCATGATCCGTGTTAACTTTGCTTGATTGAGTTTTGTCTCCAGCACTCCAAAAACATTAATGTTGTGTTTCTTTATAAGGTGTTGAACCCCATTTTGTTTCAGGGGCATATTGAAGCCCCTGATATTCCAAAATGCTGCCTTCATGATGATATGTGACACCCTTCGTTTTATCCTTTTTAGCTTCTGCAAGATGTGATTCATCTAATTTCCCTTTGAGTTTCTCGTTACCCATTCAGTGGCCCAGTTTTCTGCCTTGCATTTTTCTGCCTTTTTTGGTTATTTCGGTTCTTATTCCTGTCCACTACATTAAGGCCCTGTTTGGCATCCATTTTTATCAAAATGCATTTTTCTCTCTCTTCTTTTCAACCACACATTCTTTATTAAAATAATATTACACGTAAATCAAAAACTTTTTCTTATTTTTCAACCACACATTTCCCATTAATTTACTATTCAAAAATACATTTTCACATAAAAATTCCTACCAAACACCCTCTAAATGGGTTTTGCACCTCATCATCTTGTTCCTGTTGCTGTGTTTCACTGTTTTCCCCAGACTTCCTCATTTCAGTTTTATTAGCACCAATGTCTGAACCATTCTGATCAGCTGGATTTGATTGTGCTATTGGTTCCTTAGTGTTACCTGAAACCTGACCTATTTTTGTACCAACCTGTTTGCTTCCTGGTTCTACCCCTTTGCCGCCTGCATGCTGTCTATTAACATTGCATCCCGAAGTTGGATGTCCAAACATTTTACATGTATTGCAATACTTTGGAATGTGCTCAAAGTAAACTCCTTGTTCCCTCAGTTTTCCATTTGGTAACATCATATGAACTGTTCTTACTGGCTCCTTGGATACATCAACTTTGACTAAAACCCTCGCGTATGAAATTCTGTCCATAGTTGATGTGAGTTTGTCAGTTGAGATCGGCATTCCCACCTTTGATACAATCTTGCTTATCGCCTTCAACTTCCAACATTCAAGTCCAACATTCAAGTGGTAACCCAGGTAGATTAATCCAAATTGTTACGGTGTTGATTTCTTTGTCATCAAACTCAAAAAATTGGGGCATAATCTTCAACATAAGCGGCCTGCCAAAGACTAAGTATGGCCCCCCCCCCTTTGTCAGTTGAGATCGGCATTCCCACCTTTGATACAATCTTGCTTATCGCCTTCAACTTCCAACATTCAAGTCCAACATTCAAGTGGTAACCCAGGTAGATTAATCCAAATTGTTACGGTGTTGATTTCTTTGTCATCAAACTCAAAAAATTGGGGCATAATCTTCAACATAAGCGGCCTGCCAAAGACTAAGTATGGCCCCCCCCCTCGAGCACATTAAGTCTATCTTCCGCATTCTTGAACTTAAAAATTAACCTGCCACTTGTATGGATAGAGTACTTGTAATTTACCCTCCATGAATTGCATGGCTGCAAAAGTGCTGTTTTGCCTGGAAAATGACCAGCAACATAGCCAACCAAACTAAACCCCCAGGCATCTTCGACTTCATGCACATCATCCTCCTCCAAAGCCACAATTTCGGGGAGATCATTGATAGTTTGGAGTTTCGTGCCTTCGTCAAGTTTCCTATTATCTTTAAAGAGATTTACCCAAGGAGCTTTCACTGGGACTGTCTCTTTTACTTGGCTATCTTTGGGTGTTTGGGGTTCCCCATCTGAATCTTTCGAGACCATGTCTTCGGCACCAAGTGTTTGAGAAACACTTGGTGAATCTGCACAGAGTTCTTCCCAGAATGCTGTAGATTGGATTGCATCCTTTTTCATATTTGGGACAACAGGCTTCAACTTTAGCACGCTAGTTTGGCTTGTTTTCTTCTTACCAATAGTTGCTGGAATGAAGAGACTAGCTAGAAAGCAGTTAGACTGCCCGAAAGGGAAAAAGAAGCCAAAGTACAGATACAAAATATGTCTACAGGAGAGAGGAAGCACTTCTGAACTTTTTCCCAGAATGGAAGTAGTCAAATGTCTGAAAACCTGGGACAAACTGCAGTATCCAAACTAGTGCTATAATTCAAAATTCAAACATCCAGATTTGAATTTAATACCCGATTTAGAAACCACTTTACCATGCATACATACAGATACATACAAATTCTGTGAGCACAATGAGGATGAATCAATGGCTGAAACCAGGATGAACTAGCCGGACACACCCAACACTGCTTTGAATCTGGACGAACAGCAAGACAACCGAACCAACTGCCTTGACTTGCCGAACACACCAGGAACAACTTTGAATTTGTACAAGCCTGCCTTGAACCTGAATGGTGGAACACTAGAACTGAAAACACAGTTCGAACATCAACAAAATCTAATTTAACTTTGAACACCACCAAGAGAACTAAAACTGAAGTTTGAATGTCTCTAATATGTAAGCAAAATCCAAACAAGAACAAGAAAACTCTAGATGCAAGTGGGCAACCAAGTAATGAGAATGAAAAATATAGTCGTTACGGGATCCACACGAGATAGAAAGTCAAATATGGTGGTTTGATGTGATGGATAACGATCATATTTTTCATTTTTGTAGCAAAAAAATGAGAATCAAACGGGGGTTATAATTTTTTTGTTCTTCTTTAACATTGTACCCTACCAAATGTGGCTAAGTGTTTTGGGATATTTTCTCCTTCCATGCAAGTAATTTTCCGATGGTAATAACTATGATCAATAATTGTATACCTCGTCCCACCTTGGGGTTTCCAAATGGATGAGATAGTTTTGACTGTAGGTCAACCTGACTCTCCAAGGGAGCTTGTTTACTTTGCATGTTGTCGTGCTAAATTCTCATCAGCTGTACTGTCTCTGATTTTGCCTCTTTTTATTCGACAGAATCTCTCCCAGCTTGCATCAATCAATTACGATTTGCTTACAAAGGGTTGGAAAGACGATTCACCAACAAATTCAAATGCATAATTACGGTACTTCTGGCAAATGTGAACACAATGAGGAGCCAGATGTCATCCTGTTTGTATACCACCCTGTAAATGTATTGTCCATCGCTCATCGAATTTATGTGCTGAAATGTTGTACATTCCATGACTGAAAATATTTGTATGGTTCTGTTGCAGATATAGAAGCTAGCGGGGATGTGTTTTTGCTGTAAAGGCTTCTACCGTATGGCTTGAGTCTTGTCATTTGGTCTGACGATGTCTGGATTCTTTTGTACGCGAACCTTGAGTTGATGGTCTTCGGCCATGATGTCGTACTTGTGTTTATCCCGAACTGTAATGAGAACGCATCCCCCTTTTTGATCTATATTTCGATTATGTTTGATTTCCTTGCTGTGTTTCAACTACTCTGTAAAATTCGTGGCAAGGAAAAAAGAAGCTGAAATCAGATTTGTGTTCTTCACGTTATGTTATAGTTTTTTCAACCCCTAAACAGAACTTTTAATTTCTCCGGGAGAAATACAGGTTGCTGTCAGATGAATATTCACAACGGGTAATGAGGTTGAATTTGTATATGCCGTTCAATATTGAAGTTTCGATGGACTACCAAGAAGTTTAATATGAAGATAAGAGAAGTATTAATTTGAGTCGCACCTGATTTGAAATTCTACTCGATTCAAGTAGCATCACGCGAGGCAATAATATGACGATTAACTTATTAATACAATTTTTGAATAGACAGTATTAATTTCTTGTTTGAACTTCATTTTTTAAAAATTCATTTTGAATGACATACTTTTTCAAATTAAATAATTTTACACGTAAATTTTTAAACTTTTTCTTACTTTTTAATTTTACATTTTTCAAAAAATTATTATTACAAAATTCATTCTTCCAAAAACAATAGGACTCACAAACCCTGACTAAAACTCAATCCGTTCGTGCAATTCAACACACTTGACTTCCAATAGCATTGTTGGTAAAAATGATTGAATAATACTCAATAATACGAAGGGCCCATTTTGCAAGATTTTTGAGAAGTTAATAAAAGCATGTTCGAATAATTTTTTAAAAGTGTTTCATCTGATTAGAAATGTTTTTAAGAGGGAATTGGCTTAAGATAATTTCATGTGCATAGAAGCCTTATCAAATGGATTCTAAGAAAGAAGAAGAAATTGAAATATTACGTTTTGTATTGTGTCCGGCCTACCCAATAATAAATGTGCGGTGCTTCATTGACAACCCCCTGACCTGTGGCCAATAAAGGGGCACCACATAACCTCCTGGTTGTCAAGGGGATAGTTCATGTGGGTTTTCCCATAATAGATTCCAAACATGGAGTTGATGTTTTGAAATCAACTCCCAACAGATTCATAGAAAAATAAATCAACATCCAAGGAAAGAAATTGGGTTATATGAGGCAAGGGGTTGCGTAGGGGGGCTTTATCAGCATAAAAAGGTGGGTTACAGAGCAAAAGAAAAGCAAAAGGTGAAGTTATAATTACAACAACCATATTCAAACCAACATGAACCAATGGAACTCAAATTGTCCCCCCAGAATAAAAGAGCACGCTAATGGATTACTGGGAGATAACAAAGAAGAAGACAACTTATTAATTTCTAACGAAAATACNCCCCCCAGAATAAAAGAGCACGCTAATGGATTACTGGGAGATAACAAAGAAGAAGACAACTTATTAATTTCTAACGAAAATACAGTATGAGGAAAAACAGAGTCAACTGGGAATAAAGAAAAATGAGGCCTTAATTAACAACAAACAAACAGCACAACAGGTTTAAATTGCTAACATTTTCAACGGGCAGGATTAATATGATCTTGGTTGAACTTTAATACAGTTCACTGACAACATCGGGTTGTTCATGATCGCCTTGTGAGCTTGAACGCCGAAGGTCTTCAATCCGGATTGCAACTTCCTTAATTGAAGGCCGTGAGTCCGGGTGCTGAGCAGTGCAGTCGATTGCAAGCTGCAATAGCTGCACCATTTCCTCCTCGACATTCTGGTAACTGAGGAGCTGGAGATCAAAAACTTCGGAAGTCCATTCCTCGCGAACTACTGACTGAACCCATCTTGGCAGGTCGACTCCTTCCTCGTTCAAGAGGGCATGAGACGGTGCCTTCCCTGTAAGAAGCTCCAAAAGCAATACACCAAAGCTATAAACATCGGCTTTCTGGGAAACTTGCCGAGGATCCGTCACTTCTGGCGCACGATAGCCAGCAACTCGGTTGGGAGAGGATGGGACTCCAACCAGTTGGTTTAGTCCAAAATCTGAGACTCGTGGCTCGTAGGACTTTGTGAGCAGGATATTAGATGATTTGATGTTTCCATGGGTGACATTCGGACCTTGAGAATGCAGATATTCAACACCAAGTGCAGCTCCAAGTGCAATCCGAGACCTCAATTCCCAATTTAATGGCATACTACCACCTCCTTTGTTACCTGAGCCAAAGAAGATGACAATGATGGCATAGAAAGCAAATTGTACCAGATAAGTTTGCGAATGTAGCAATTTCAAGGAAATTAGGAATTAAATCAGTATAGCGAAAAACGCCGAAGTACAAATTTACCAATAGTGTATATAATGATCATAGGATCAAAGTAAGAATGCAAATAATAACTCAAGAATATAGGCAAGCAAAAGGAAAAAGTCAACTCTCTACAAAATTATCAAATCAATGACAGTATCACCAAGAAGCTTGTTAGATAGGAAGAAGACAGTAAGCCCATATGTAAGAATCTAACCAAATTTACATTAGCAACTTGAAAAAATCACAAGCACAAGCTACTAACAATCAACCCCTTTAATCAATTTACTTAAAATCATAAGCAATTCTAATTCATCATCAAGTTCTGGTTTTCCACAAAGAACCTAAGCATAAATATGGCAAGCAAAACTGCACTTGCGTGCGCATTTTGTATTGGCTTGACTTCATAGCGAACCAGGGAGGCATGCTGGCAGATGCATACGTGTAGGATTTGATTATACTCATACACTGTGTAACAAAACTCAAGAAAAAATTATTCCTATCATCAGAATTAGAAGCCGGATCAAGACACTATCTTAACAAAATTGAACATAGCAAACACAGAATGAAATGGTGATTGCAAAGAAAATAAAATCTAACTCACCATGTAAAAGTGCAGACAAGCTTCCCATTGGCATATAATCATACACAAGAAGCTTTTCCTCCTGGCTATAATAATAAGCCATGAGAGGCACCATATTCTGATGATCCAAGTTCCCAACCACTTCAATTTTCTCCCTGAATTGCCTCTCCGAAATGGTCACATCCTTCAACCTTTTCACAGCAACCACAGTTCCCACTTCCAATACAGCCTTATATGTCGTCCCAAACGTACCCTTCCCCAGAACCTCAGCGGATGCCCTCAACAGTTCCTCCAAGTCAAAAACCTGTGACGCGTTCCCAAAAAACGCCAATTTCTTAGTTTCCTCATTTGTGCCACCACCAGTTTTCCCCTTTGCATTCCCATTTGCAGTCAATGCAGCTGCAGCTGCTGCTGCCACCGAAAACTCATTACTCGTTCCACCATTCTCCGGCTCCACAAGCGGCTTTTCACCTATCCCAGCTTCTTGATTCTTAATTGATGTCACATCTATGGATCTCGCCTTGTTCCCACTTCTCTTCCTACGTAAAATAAATAGTAACAACAACAATAAAACAAATCCCACAACAGATCCAATTACAATCCCTGCAATTGCACCACCAGACAGCTTCCTTTTCTTGCCTTTCCCTAAATTTTCCACCCCATTTATATTTTCATTACTCCCAGCAGTCGCAGGCGGAGTTTCCGCATTGGCCTCGCAAGCATTTTCAAGAGGCTTCCCACAGAGCGAATTTCCCAAGAAAGCATTTTTAGGCATGTCCTCAAGTCCTTTCGGAACGGACCCATTCAAGCTATTGAAAGAGATATTGAACCGTTGAAGTCTCGAAAGCTCAATGTCCGGCAGAACACCGGTGAACCCATTGTTTTCCAAATAAAGCATGCGCAAACGGGTCAAATTGTTAAACCCAGACGAAATTTCACCAGAAAATTTGTTCTGAGCGAGATTCAACCGCACTAGAGAATGAACAGAAAACAGGAAATCCGGTAACGGCCCTGAAAACCGATTTCCCTGAAGATACAAATTCCGTAGCTGAGTGAGTCGAGAGATATCGGAAGGTAGAGGACCAGATAGATGGTTAAGGCGGAGACTAAGCGTCCTCAGTAGAGTAAGATTAGAGAGTGTATCCGGTGGAATGGTACCAAAAAGGGAGGAAGCGGGAAGGCGTAGGGCAGTAACACGGTTGTTATCACACATAACACCCTGCCACTTACACGGCGTAGATAAAGTTACATTCCAATAAAAAGTGCGGCCGCCGACAGCGGTGCGGAGGCCCAAAAGGGCTGCTCTATCACTTACCAGATCTGAGGAAGTAATAGGAGAAAGGAAGAAAACACGAAGAAAGAGCAGAAGGAGCAGCATTTTGGTCAGTTTTGGTAAAGCCAGGAAGTACATTTTTTGCTGTGTTAAGTGCTCATTTGGTGGGTGTGTGTGTGTTTTTCTGCAGTTCGTCACGGCTACCTACTGTGTTTATGGGCTTAGTTCAGAGGGATAAAATATTAAAAGTAACTATGTTGACAGCATCAACGTGTCTCTGTGTGTGAGAGAGAGAGTTGGAAATAATAATATAGGTCCGTTTGGTAGGGATTTTGAGAATTGATTTTTTGACCGTTTGAAGAAAAGTGAGGTCCACATGTGATAGAAGAAGTCAAAAATTACGGCTTGAATAGTAAAATAACGGTCAAAAAATCAATTTTTTGGGACAAAAAATCCCTACCAAACGGGTGTGTTTTTCTGCAGTTCGTCACGGCTACCTACTGTGTTTATGGGCTTAGTTCAGAGGGATAAAATATTAAAAGTAACTATGTTGACAGAAAATGATGTAGATAAATCACAGATGTTACAGCTCAGCAATAACGTAAAACCCTGGTGGTTGAACTGAGGACCATTAAAAATCCATTGCTCATTGTTTGGAAAAGAATAATGATATTTAGCACTAATTTAGATAATAATATTTAATATATTCAATTAAGTTTCTGTTTGATATCGATTAAAATTTAAATTTAAGTCAAAGTTAATAATTAATATTAATCATATTTTTATGAATCCCACAATTTTTTTATTACATATTTCATCAACTGTTATCAAAATTTACTAAAAATTTAATTTTTATCATCACCAAACAGTGGCTAAATGAATCACGTGACATTTTGAATCTATCATTCAGCCCTTGTTTGAGCCACATTATTTTGCTTATGATGAATTTTTGAATAGTGTATTGATGGAAAATGTATGGTTAAAAAATAAAGAAAAGTTTTGGATTTGTGTGTAATATTATTTTATTGAAGAATGTGTGGTTGAAATGATGTCAAATCACTGTTTAATAATGTATTTTTTTGAAAAAAATATGGCTCAAACATGCCCTTAATACCATGTAGTTATCATCTAAACTGATGCTTGACAATAATGGTGTTAAATAACATTATACTTAAAATCAACGGACTAATTTGTATGATGAACATACTTTTACTATTAGTTGATATTCTTGTTTGGTGTTATACAATTTAAGCCTATGGATTATCCCATATAAGTATATTATTTTAACTTTTCCCCCCCTATTCTTATACTGTGATGTCCAATTCAGCCATACAAGTTAAGATTTGATAGCCATTACTTTCTAGACATTACTAATTTCACATAAAGTAGAATGATAGTCCGAAGGCTCATCTGAAATGGCTTTTGAAAAGTTAAATGCTATTTTTGAGATTAAAAAAATGCTTTTAAGCAAGTTTGGATAATTATCTAGACTTACTTTGTTTGATTGAAAAACTGTTTGATCAAACTGAGATAATGTCCCAAACGGGCTCTAAGACCAAGTGCAACTAGATTCATATCTTCAAAATACTTTGCAATGAGTAGTAGTTCCTCATTTTTTTTATTTTTCTTCATGAGTTTGTTGACGTAATAGATTGAAAATTTACAATTACGACGCTCGTCGAGTTGGCCTATTTCTTGGACATATCTCTTGATGTCTTTGGATAAATGATAATACAGTATGAAGAATGAATGCTCTTCAGTGCAGGAGGAGAAAATGTAAGGATCCCCATTGTGTTCTTAATAGACTAATTTAGCTGAAATTTGTCAAATGAGCCAAAGTTGACATAATTTCGAGAATATCTGTTTCAAGAAAAATGCAGATTGCAGATTTCTTCATAACCCCATGATTGTTGATCCAACCACTAATTTGGACATGAAAAGCCAACAATTCTATCAGAAATGTTGCTAATGAAAGAAATCCTCGTTTGGTAAAGTTTAAGAAGAATGCTATTTCTCATTTCCCATAAGTTTTTCCTCAGACGCTAGTTCTAATATATTCTACATAGGGATCAAAAGGAAGAAGTAAACTATAGCAAATTGTCTTCTAAAGACCTGCCTCACCCTGTTACACCACCTTAATCTTCATTAATAATATCTTTTAAGTTCCTACCACATGTGAAAAATGCTATAATAATCATAATCATAATCTTAATATAATGGTTGCGGCAGGGCATGTGGTCTCATGTTAACTTTGTCTGAGAGTATGTTGTTCTTTCAGAACAGGCAGATGCACGAGGAGATTATGCTGCTGCACCACAATTTTGAACTTCATCTTGAAATTGGAAGATATAGAGGTTTTCACATCAGAAACAATACAGAGTCAACGGCTATCCAAATTCGAATTGTCAAACTCTTTTCATGTGGGTGTAGCATAAATTTCTCCCTATGAATTTACTGGCATAACAATTTGGAATTTGGAAGTCAGTGCCAGAACTCGTAAAGAAATTACTCGTTCATGTTTGTCGACTGAAATCCAACGAATATTTAAAACAAAAAGTGGATCGGTTCGCTCAACCATCATCTGAATGATGGTCGATTCAGTAATTGTACGATAGCTTGCTAACTGAAAGTCCGCGAGTGAAACTTTTGATCGATTTCAACCTATGAGGCACTCACTTCTTCTGTCTGCATTATCAAAACCTATTACAGGCACCATATCGACCAAAGGGCGTTTCTGGGTCCTCATTGGTAGATTGCACACTCTATTAGTACTATCAACAAGGCTATCTTTCCAAGCATGCCGGGGAGTTTTTGCAAGAAAAATCAGAGTTTAAAAGGTTAAGACAATTTACATTATTTTACGAGTTACACCACAACTTGAAATTATCTGCATCAGTTGAACACAAACACCTTCTGATCATTCAGTATTGGTGTGCATTATGTAAGTTCCTTTAGAATTACAATGTACTCCACAAATAAGAATCAAGCATGGAATCAACACTGAAACCAACAACGAAGAACATATTCGATTCATTCAAAGAATAAACTAGAGATCACACTGTACATCTTCTCTACTACCCCCTTCTTTCTCTATTTTCTCTACTAAAATTTTCAAGCCATTCCTGTTGCGGTAGCTCGACAGGTTGCAATCCTCGAAATTGGACCTTGGGCTTGGATATCCCGGCCATCAACTATGGTAATCCCACGAGGATAAGTTGCAATCCACGAAACTGGACAGTGGGCTTAGATGGATATCCCGGCCATCAACTACTGTAATCACACGAGCCTCTTATCCATTCTCATTCCTCAATTAGAACACGAGACTAGATGACTAGCCCAGCCATCAACTAAGTAACAATCGACTTTCTCTTCAACAACTTGATCTTCGATACTCGCTCTTTGTTCTTCAGCTCTGCAGGACGCCACAGATTCGTCCTTGCAACTCTGCAGAAGCAAGAATTGACGAGCAAATGCATTTAAAGCTTCCTTCATCCACGAATGTGCNGCCACAGATTCGTCCTTGCAACTCTGCAGAAGCAAGAATTGACGAGCAAATGCATTTAAAGCTTCCTTCATCCACGAATGTGCACACACTTCTCTAGCTTCATTAACAGTCATCTGTGGAGTTAAATTCAATATGATATCAGAACTCATTCGATAACAATATTGCATTATACATTTCTGTTGAAAGACCTTCTGAACAGAAAGTTCGATATTTTGACATACCCATTTCCGTTGACGGACATTTTTCTCTGGCCAAACATCCAATTCCTCGGTGACTAACAGGGAAAACATGGATCCCTCATGAAACTTGTCTTGCTTTTTGCTTTTAAAAATCCATTCACCTAATTTATCCTGCAAGGAACAGAGGGAACCGAACGAAATTAGAAAATGACATAAGATCATGACCAAGAAGAAGCCCATAAGATTCAACTAGAAGAAGAGATACTGACCCCGAGCAAGCCGATTACACCAGCTTCTTCCAGGGTTTCGCGTGAAGCTGCTAATTCTATATCCTCATCAATTTCCCAACCACCCTAATAGTTCCACAGCAAAATTAACAAGGTCAACAACAGAATTATACCATTAATTAATTTGTATTATTCCCATTCGATATTCCAAAATAAAAAGGACGCGAATAACAAAATACCTTAGGGAACATCATGCTTGAATTCTTTTGAGAACTGATCAAAAGAACTTCTAATTCATCATTTTGGGATGATGTGTTAGTTTTCCTGATTCTGTATGGAATACATCTGCAGATTTTGCAAATATAATAAACAATTAGGATAATTTTCAGCCAAAGAAGTCTTGAAAATTCAGAAAAAGGGAGAAGGTTAAAAAAAAAAAAAAAAATTCATACCCAACAACAAGGCGACAGCCCTGATTATAGCGCTGCAAATGTCTTCCTGTACGAGATGTCTGAGAAACCAATTTCTTGATTTGCATGGTAAATAAAATAATTATCTTTCAAGAATTCAAAGAAAAGAGGAGAAGAATTCCCTATTTATTGAAGCTCTGTTCTGTTTAAACCGTTATGATAAGCACAAATCTGGCAGAGGGGACTATCCTTGAATCTATATCTCAAAAGTATTGCGTAAAATAACTCAACTTTCTGTTGATAATGGCAAAAGGAAAAGGCGGATAATGAAATGGCCAAGGCTATCCACTCCTTTAATAGAGGGGATGGAATCAAGATTTTAGTGGGGTGAGGTAGAGGTTTCGAGGGGGGGTTCAGATGTACGTTGTGCTTTCCGGGAAAATGAGTAATATTTGTTATTTGATTAGAATAATAATTTTTCGAGTAAAACAAATGTTTTTCTGTTACGTCGACAGGTACGTGCGACTTGTGGGACGCGTTTGGCTTAGTACGCGTTTGGTTTAGTCGCATTGAAGAGTCATGGGTCAAGCATGTGTCCGTGTCTCGCACTATACAAACACCTGAGATGCATTATAAAACTGCACACTTAACTCATGTATGGTATTGATTCTTTAAAATTCATTTTATTTTCAATTTTCTTTTTCAACCACAAGATAAATGGATCTCTGATCCGTTCTTCCCTAACAACAAAAAGACATTTGCTGAATATTATGTGAGATTGGATGTGAAAAGGATAAAAAGAAAAACCAATACAAAAGTATCACAAAAGAAAAACTATTTGTTCTTGAAACGTTACTTTTTTTTTTTGAGTTGAGATATCATGGCCCGATTATTATTACAGAGTTTTTTTTACCATAAAATTTAGCCTTCGGGGTCAACTCGTCAGTTCCTATGAGGAAGACAACGCAAAGGAGGCTTGAGAATTTGTTAAGGAAGGCGGCAAGGCCGACGAGGGGAGGGAACGTATTTTTACTTTTTCATCACATATTCTCCAAAATAATTATTTTTGCAATGAAATATGACAATAAGGGTGAAATTGCCAAAAAAATAAAAGGTATGGACGTTTTGTACTAATTACTCTTTTAATAATTTATTTGGACTCATTTACAGTTTTTTAAAAAGCTTGGGAGTATAATTACAATTTGTTTTTTAATTTTTCTTTTCCTTTTTGTTTTATTTAAATAGGAGGATGTATTTGTTGTTTTGAGAAATTGGAAAAAAATGACATTATTAGCAATGAAATGAATAAATAAGAGTGAAAATATCAAAAATAAAAAGTAATGAATTGCGCTTGATATTTAAAGCAAACATTGCAGCTACAATCCCTAAATTTTATCTCTAGATCACTTGAGTCTCCATTCAATTTCATGTTTTCTGATCCCAAACTTTCAATTTAGTGAAGATTGATCCTTTTAGTCTTGCCCATGCACGTGTCACTTTATTTAGAGTTTAGGTAATTGTAATCCCATCCATGTATCTCTCTAAAAACACTTGTGAAAAGAGATTGAAAAAAGAAGAAAAAATGCAAAAACGTGGTATGTTCTTACGAAACCTCATAGGGTGGCAATGAGACGAAGCAGAATTGGGATGGCACTTTCTGTCCCCATCTTGTAAGAAATTTTTGGGGAGTCAAGAGGGCAATGATTAAAATAATCTTTATTTATTATCTTGTTTATTCATTCGTATGTTTATTTTATTTAATTTTTTAAATACGATTTAAATTGTAAAATATAAGAGAGAAAAATATAGTTGGGATAGGGACCATATTCCGTGCTTCGATTACTAAGCAAGGCGGGAGTCAGGTAATGTTGTCATCCCTAAATCACCTTCTGAAAGGACATATCTATAGTAAATTGAAAGATTGAGGATCTCAAAGTTCAAAAAAAAAAAAAAAAATTAAAAACTGAATGAATCAGGTCCCAAGTGCTTGAAGGAGTAAATTTTGGAGACTGCATGTGAAATTTTTAATTTATCTTTGGTTTGCATTGCACCTTTAGGTCCTAGAACTATAATACGATTCCACTTCTAACCCACCAATTATTTTCCAGACCAGCGTAATTACAGAATGCTTGGAAAAAAAAAAGGTACTCATCTATAAGCTGCAACCCACGAATTGTATCGTCCAAAATTTACACAACTAGCTTATAAGCCTGGTTCCTAGTCTTCTAATCAGGGGCGGATGCAGAAATTCTTAGTTAGGGGGCACAATCAAAATCTTTACAAATCGAATACTTTGTTCTAAATTTTTAAATGATTTAAAATCAACCGAAAAAATATAGATTTACATTTAATATTTTGTTCATCATTTTCATCCATTTGATCATTTTATTAATATTTTGCTCATCATAAGAAAATACATATTTATATTTAAAAAATTCAAAGTGTATTTAATATAAACAATCAATTCAAGTGATCAAAAGAAAAAAAAAACATATAACCATTATTCAATCAAACAAATACATTCGTTAAATATAAGTTAAATTGGATATAATCAGTTCAATCACATTATATGTACACAAATAGGATTTAAAAAAATGTAAATTTAGATTCTAATTAATGAAAATTTGATTGGAAAGCGAAAATTTGTAATAAATATGATAATTTATAGAAAAATTATAGACAAATTTTAAAAAATTAAAAGGGTTAAGTTGTTTTTAAAAGGTGTGAGGGTGAGCGTAAGATAGAGCAAAAGAAAAGAGGAAAAAAAATTCAAATTTATTGTGATTTTATCCCTATTTAGTAGAGGTTAAAATTAAATTTTTAGTGTATTTTGATAAAAATTAAAATGTTAAGGATTCCATGAAATATGTTATTAAAATTAATTGTTAACTTTAATTTATAGTAGAATTTAGATTTCAATTGATACCAAACAGAATTATCCACGCATGAGAGAGAAAAAAAATTCAAATCTGAAAAGTTGGGGGGGCGGGGGGTCAAGACCCCTTGAGTCCGCCCATGCTTCTAACTGTACTGTTGTTCTCAGGAAAAATGCAAGTATGTTTATAGTGTAATATTTTGGCAATTTAAATTATTAATGCTAATTTACATATTTTAAAAGAAATTGAGAGAGAAATATGCTGTGTCCATAATGTAGTTAATTAAACTAGCTTAAAATACAATTAAAAAATATAAGGACAAGATAAAATGCAAACTTGTTGTCACAATCAATTAGGTAGTTATAAAAAGAACTCACACTAAAAATCAAGAAATAAGGACAAAGTAAAATGCAAATATCTTGTTATAACACATCATTCTTTCGATAACATTATTGTTGTTTAAAATTTTTAAAGCCTTTAATTAATCAGGTTAAGAATAAAGACAAAAATAAAACAAAAGTCAAATACAATAACATAGAGATAAGATATCCATAAGATGTGACCTAAACTAAAGGGACAATGTGGACCTTCAATCATGCTATAAAGTTGAGTGTTTTTTCAACCTTCACTTGATATGTCTATTGAGGGATTAGTTCCAACAGCACTTATAATATACCAAATGATTAAAAAATTGCGTATCGAGTCCTCGTTCTTTAAGAATTATAATAAATAAGTTCCTATTCAATTTTTTGGAGGTGCGCATATATTCTCAACGTTTCACAATTAGGCACACAAGTCTCGAATTGGATGGAAACTGTGGGTAAAAATTGTCTAGCTATCACGTGACCTGTACGTCTCCATATTTAAGGATAACTTTTTCAAACTAATTGGAATTAAAGAATGAGGACTTAATCTGCAATTTTCTGAAAAGATTGCAATTATTGAGTTTGTGATATGAAAAGATGGCCACTCATTTTGCACAAAAAACTAATTCCTTGTTTGAGTTCCATTATTCAGTAAAAGTAAATTTTGGAATAGTGAATTTTTAGAGAATGTATGGTTTAAAAGTTGGAAAGAAAAATTTAAGTTTGCATGTAATATTATTTCATTAAGGGTCCGTTTGATTACAAGAAAGAAATTTTGATGGAAAGAAAACGAATTCCAGAGAATTGAATTGTCTATAGCTTGTTTTCCTAGGAATTGTTAATTAAATGCGTTTGATTGATATAATTTTTCACCTGAAAATTGTTAAAAGTTTCTATTTTTTGGTATTCGTTTAGCTTTATTTTTCATGAAAATTGTTAATTAAATGGATATAATTTGATACAATTGGGGATAAAATTTGTTCCAACTGTCAAAAAAAAAGCATAAAAAAAATATAAAAAGCTGGAAAACTAATTTTCGCCAAAACCATAGGAAAACCAATTCTTTAAAAACCTGGAAAAATGGGCCACGTTGGGGGTTGGGGTGGAAAACCAACTCCATGAAAAAAATTTCCCATCAAACATACCATTTTGGTAGAATGGAACCTATCAAACAGGTCATAAGAAAATATATGATTAAAAAAGAATTTGAAGGAAAATATCCCTACTATATAAAAAGGAGAATGTGGAGTTACTGTAAAAATGAACAGTGAATTATTCCATTTTATTTCATTGTAGCCTTTTTTAATTTTATTTATTCCATTCCATTTTATCGCACTGTAGTCATTTCGTTTGTTTCCCCGGTATTTGAGCAAAAACAACACCATCTTGTCTAATTGGTACAATCTTCTCCATTTTTACACGTTATTGCCTTTACGTGTCTCCTTTTCACCACACAAATCGCCTATAATTTCTTCTTCTATAAAGTTTATTGGGTCTTCTCTTTTCATGTATGAATGATTTATTGATTTCAAAATCAAAATTATGTTGAAGAGGTAAATATAGAATGAAGTCGTTTTAGTTTACAATTATGTAAAAAAAAGTCACACGCACTCCTCCTACCTAGATTTTTGACAAAAAATTCATTTTTTAATATAAATCATTTCATGTTTAAGATTTATTTTGTTAGAAATTAAAAAAAAAAAAAAATAGTCCCGTGCACGGAGTGTGTTCCTCCTCCAACCTCGAAATTGACAATTGACTACAGTAGGCAGTAAAGGCCGTTGATTTATGATCTTGTACTTTTTTAGTTGTCAACTTCAGCGATTATTTTGATGCTGTAGAGAAATAAAAAGGCGAGAGGCAAAATGTTATCTTGCCATCAGATTAGGAGCAATGTCTCATGTTGACTGGAAGGAACTCTTAGTTCGATATCTTGTGCTATTTTCCTAAAAGTAGGTGGCAATAGGAGTAACATGGGCCTCTTTGTTTCGGCTTAAGATCTCCACTTTAGTCAACTTGAAATAATATGCAAAGCCCCATCATAGGTGACTGGGAAATTTTTAGTTTAGGTAATCCTTAATGTAATTGTTAACAAAAGAATTACAGGCAATAATAGAAAAATAAATAT